CCCTTCTGGTTCCCGCCCACTAACATACCAGCTACTAAAAGGAGGGCTTATACTTTGAGGTGTTCTTTTAGTAGTGCGATGAATTGATGTGGATGATATGCCCTCTTTTAACTCCTGGGTGTACTGACAATGCAAATTTTGATGAGCTATCTTGCCCATGGGGTAAAGTTTCCAGCCAAGACACAAAACACGCGTATTTGTGTGCGTGTGGGTACATGCCTTGTGTGCACGCGTGTTTATTTGTGTGTGCTGTGTTTTGAAATGAGCTAATTAACTGTGGTCCATAAACCTTTAAACTTTACTGAATAAATTCAACAAACCAGTTTAGGCAAGTCCACATACTTGCAGTGATAGCTAGTACAACTAAGCTATCATGTATAGAACACTTATCATGTGGACAATTAGATGGATTCCAGCATCTAAAACTAAAAGACAAAATTAAAAAAAAAACATGGAAACCTTCATGTTATGTGAAAGTGAGTTCATATATATAAAGAACATAGTTAATACTTTAGGAGAGTGAGTTGTTATTAATATAACCATTATAGGGCCAGGTGCAGTGGCTCAGGCCTATAATCTGAGCACTTTGGGAGGCCATGTTGGGTGGAGTTTGAGGTCAAGCTCAGGAGTTGGAGACCAGCCTGAGCAAGAATAAGACCCCATCTCTACCAAAAATCGAAAAACTGGCTGAGTGTAGTGCTGCATACCTATAGGCCCAGCTACTTGGGAGGCTGAGGCAAGAGGATTGCTCAAGCCCAATAGATTGAGGTTGCTGTGAAGCTATGATGATGCCATGGCACTTGACCCAGGGAGACAGAGAGTCTGTGTAAAAAAAAAAAATTAAAAATAATATGTATAACCATTATTATTTTGGTCTGTAATATCTTATGTCCTTTAGTCATTAAATAAAGATCCATGGGACTGGGACAGTGGGAAGAAATGACTATTCTACCAGGCCTTTTATTATACTATTATTCCAGTAGCCTTTTTATTTAAGGAATAGAAGAAAAATTTCTACCACCAACTGTCTTCAGCTTACTCATTTAATAACATTTCCCTCACTCCTTTCTACTATACTCTCTGGGAGCAGACTGGTAAGAAGCTGGCAGAAAAGGCCTTCTCTTCCAGCAACTTCCTGTGGAAGTAAGAACCTGTTGTCTGTTTTTTCCTTTTGTAACAGTGCTGACATTCTCCTTAGAGACCCAGGTCTGGAGGTAAAGGGTGGAGAGGAAAGAATAAGAGATAACAGTGTCTGTATGCACACATGTGCGTCTGCATGCAGGTGTATCTGTGTGTGTGTGGACACCATTTTCAAGTATAAGTGAGGCACCCATATCTTACTGTTCCCCCTGGGAGATGCTGTCTAAAGCATGTCTCTTCCTGCCCATGCAAGACATCTTGGTTCCTGGAAAGCTTGGCAGGGAAGAAATCTCCCTGAGTGAACACAGAAATAGTTTCACTGAAGAAACAGTTTCACTGAAGAAACAGTTTGTGGTGAGCTCAGTTATAGTGACATTCTGGAAACAGCACTGGTCAAAGCTTTCCACTTACCCTCCACGTTTATCACTGTGTATTTCTACTGCCTCTTTCTCTCATCACGCACAGATTCGTGTCTAGTTTTTGAGAAAATTTCCTTATATTAGCACATAATGGCTTCTAGAAAATCTGAGCTCTCCTGTCTAGAAAACTTGAATACGATGTCATTAAAAACAAACACATATTTTGTAGTTAAAAAACTTTTCTTGGCTTCTGAGTGGGCTCTCCATCTCATCAGATATTAAGAAGTGGAACTGTAAATGTAGGGAATTAATGAAGAGACAGGAAATAAAGCAGAAAAATCCACAAAATTTAATACACCAACACACAAGGCAAATGTCTTCTTCCTGCATAATTTGTTAAAATTTATCATATTCAGAAGCTGATATGATAAATAACTGAATACAGTTTTCCCCTGTTCTAGAATTTCATCGCAGGGGTACCATACTCATTTGTAATGCAGTATCCTGTCTGCTATCTAAAGGTAAAATATTTCAAGTACTAAGACAAGCTGAAAACGAGCTCCTTAAAGTTTTTGTAAATTTGCACTTACGTACTTTCCACATTGAGTTTTCTCAAACTTGAAACCAAAATATTTACAAGTCTCATGTGCCTATTAGACATTTTCTTTGCAAAGTATAAAATGACATTTTAAGTAGCAGTCAATTGTTTCTTTTAAAACACCTCAATTGAATTATACAAAGGAACAAACTAGTGATGCCCACAAGGCTCGTAGGGGTGTTATGCTGACTGAAAAAAAGCCAATCTCTAAATATAAATACGAGTATGACTCCATGACAAAATTATAGCAATGGAAAAGACATGCAGGGTGTGGAGTGAGCACAGGAAAGAAGGATGGAGGGTACATGACTGCAAAGAGGCAGCCAAAGGGGCTTCTGTGGGGTGATGGGGCAGCTCTGTATCTTGCAATATATAAAACTCCATGAGATAAAACTAAGTGCAAAAACATTTTAAAAAATGAGAACATACAAAAACTGGTGAAATCCAAGTAGGGTCTGCACTCCAGTTAACTATGTTGTCGGAGCCCTGGTTTTGCTAATACAGTGCAATTGTCACTGGGGGAGACAGGGTGATGGGGAGTGTACACAGAGTGTACTATTATTGCAACTTCTGAGTCTGTGATTATTTCAAAATATGAAGGTAAAAAACATAAATCTCTATTGAATAATTCCAGTTATTAACTATACTTAGGAAGCAATTTAGTCAAAGACCGGTGCCCATTCAGAAGGCTGGGCTTTTAGACAAACACTGAGGACTCTTGACTTAGCATATGCTTAGTATCCAGGTCTGCAACTCTTAAGCAGTGTAATTTGAAGCAATGACTGTTTTCATCATTTCTGTTATTAATAAAATTGTAGAGTCAGGATGTTTCAGGGCAAGCAGGACTTCGCAGAGAATGCAGGCCAAGCTCTCAGGTTACACTTCTCTGGGTTTTGCTATCCTCATTTGTAACTTAAGGACTTTGTCCTAGTTTCTTTGTAGCGTCCTGCATAGTTCTACGTTTTATAATCCACCACTTCCCAACTTATATTACAGAACTTTAATGGCGATCTTAGGAATTTGCCTCAGTATTTACTGCATCAGAAAAATGCTTCAATTTAGGTTAATTACCAACGTGGATGCAGAAACAACCTTGTTATTACACCATCTCACGTACTAAAAACAACTGCAGATTCAACCAATTGGATTAATTCTTACTAAGTTGAGGTTTTAATTTTCCAGGAGGGAGGGTCAGAGTACTCTCCTTGAGTTCAGTTACTAGCGCATCTTCCTTGTATTCACTTGAGTACTTACATAGAAAGGGGACGTTTACTTAGGTCAGTATTTGCCAGGATGGGCCCCTTGCCTGCCCACTAGACCTGCCAATCAGTGCTGGGGAGGTTCTGGCAAAGCGGACAATCCAAGTCAGGAGGCGTCATTTAGAGAGAGACCATTACCATTTGGGAATAAATGATAATATGCTCTCTTAACTATCATAGCTGTAGTTTCCCTTATTCATCTCATCTGCTTTTCTTCATCAATGCTAAAAACTGATTACCTTGGGAAACAGTCCTCGATGAAAACAAGCTCAGCACCCCCGAGGGCCAAGCTTGCTTGTGACAGCATACATAAACAAAAAGATTTCAGCAGTGACATTTTGTTTCTGGGTTGATTTCTCAAATCTATAATAATTAAATTATATAGTCTTTCAAAGACAAAAAACAAAACTAGCAACTCAGCGTTAGTGTAATCATTTTATTAAAAAAAGGAACCCATGGGGTTCAAACAAGAGTACAAAATACAATCTTTGTTTTTTTTTCCCCCCTGTGGGTTAAATGGTTACATTTTTAATAATAAAAATAAAAAAAGCTTTCGTAGTCAACTTACCCAAAACATAACCCCCTGGCTATTCAGTTTCTTATTGTGCAAAACAAAAACACAAAAAGTAAAGTTTTGCTCATGGAATGATTTTGTGTGCCAAAAAAACTCACATTTTCAGTTTTAAAATTTCTGCATCAAAAAGGAAATTCTAAGGCCACAGTTTTATTTCTGCAAACTAAATAAGAGCAAGAGGGGCTAAACAAGCAAGTAACAGCAGCTAAATTTTTATCTTCATTCCCAGGTATTCTCTTTTCCAATGTAGAATTTTCTACACTCATTAAACACTATCTTGATTATAAAAAAGTATGCAGTTTCAATCTACTGCTTAAGGTCAGACATACCAATATCAATTCAGTAAGGCAAATCACACCTTTTAGCTACTCTCATAACTACTAGAAAGTTAGCTCTGCTTCAATTTCCCAGGGGCACTTCATGATTTCTCTAATAGAGTTGATAAACCAATCCTAGTGAAAAATTCCATTAAGTAATTGCTTTTCTAATGAAGTCAAATAATTATACTTTTCTGCCATCCATACAGCTTGAGTTTGCATCTTTCACTTTGTTTTGGTATCATGGAGAGGAACAATGTCTTGACAAGTCTTGTAAACTACAACTTAAAAGTCAACAAATGGTTGAAGACAATCCTTTCTAACATAGAAATAAAACTGTTGAAACAGCATTTAACTACACATACCTATTTAAAGACACACTAAAAACAAACCAAAATAAAACACTAAAAACAAAACCGAGAAATAAAGTTTTGTGACAATTTAGCTAACAGCTCTGCCCTGTGATTTAAACAGTAGCTCACAATGACAGAAGAGCATACAGGATGCTTCCACGATTCCCGAGGACAGCGGCACGTCCAGAAGGGCGGAAAGCACACATTTACCTAACGCTGGTAGAAAAATCCCTGACCAAATTACCAACTCATTTTTAAATACAAAATTGAACCTTAGAAGAACTTTTCTAATTGAAAATACTGACTGATTCAAAGATAAAGTAATCATTCTGTTTAATGAAGCATAGTATTCTGTAAGGGAAGCACCAGGGTTTCTAGATCAAACCCTTAGAATATGGAGAAAACCTAAGTACTTGGCTGGTCTAAAACCTAAATCATGGGATTCCCTGGCTCCCTTCTGCTTAGTGTCCAGTAATGTTCTCAGCTCACAAACCAACAGGTGGAAGGAGAAGGAGGTGAAAATGAGACCATGAATATGAGGGGTGACCGGGACAATAAAAACACTGCTCAGATTTTTAGCAGCAACACAATTCTGTTGGTCTGAATATCCTGAGCTTAAATGTAATAAAATATTGCACCAAAACAATAAAAAAGTCACAGTTTAAACAGAATTACTGGAGCACTGGAACAATAATGTAGAATATAATGAATGCCATCAGTGACTTAAGTCTCTTGACAGGAATCAAATTTCTGTTTTTTTTAAAAATGGCATCGCTCCTACCCTCTTTTGATTTTGCATGTATTTTCAAATTCCCTTGTTATACATGAATTTTCTTCCACTTAGTGCCAACCTTCTGGGTATTTCCCTTGGCTGAGATTCAGATTTAGTGACAGGAGAGATTAGACTGCTACTGTACATAGCAGAAACTCCAAAGACTAATCTGACCTAGGGTATTAAAAACATGTCTGATAACCTGACTAGAGGTAGATTTAAGAAAGGCTTTTTTGGGGGGACTGTGTAGTTATAAAGGCATCATGAAGATGCAACATTTTTACCAACCCCTTCTTTCTCTAATGTGCTCTGAGGTAAGTAAGACATGAGAAAAGTAAAACATATATCCGTTAAAGTACTTATTAGGGGTAAAAGGTACAGCCTTCAGTAAAATGTGTTTTCATACTAAAATTCATCTTTCCCCTTTGAAATGACAAGTTTTTCAAGAAGTCATTTCCTAGTTTCATAATACTGTATAGCCAATTTATAAACTAAATTTTAACCTACCATTAAAAGAGTGAAAACCATATGACTTCATTAGGATCTTATATGACCATGATTTCAAGAAAAGATACTTTCAGAGCTTCTGGTCTGAATATGGTAATACAGGAAGAAATCATGAAGACCCTGAAACCTGCGGGTCTTCCTTTGTGTTCAGAGGAGGCCACTTTCCTACTCACGTATACCTCTTTGCTGCTACACTCTCCAAAACCAAGTCTGCTCCCACTGAGTCCACACTGCCTTAAGTTTAGGATCCTTCAAAACACTGGGTAGCTCCCGTGTTTCCCTTCTCTCAGGTCAGCACAGGCCCCCTTTCACTTACTCTATCACCATCAGGACTTCCGTTACATTCTGTGACTTTTTACATCTGCATCCCATTTTTTAAAAGGGATATACAACCATCACATGAACTTGCACAAAGATCCTGTTGGCCCACTAGAAAGTTCTTGTATGCTTTAATTTCTGTTGCCTTCAGTCTTGATGTTCATTCATGTTGTTAAGTGAATCTTCCCTCCCTCTTTCCCAAAAAGGCAGAAGAAAACTAACATTCTGATTTGATGATGAACACAGTGATTTCTGAAGTATGATCAGAGAATGAAGGAAACAGGCTGGGTCTCTTCTATATCACTAGGATGTGGATCAACCTGCAGAAAAGAGCAGATCAAGATTGCTATTGTAATATTCACTAAGACAATCCTAGTATCCAATTATACGACAGTTATAAGCCAAGGTGCCCAGAGCACATTATTAATAAGTCCCAATAGGCCATTTAATCTCTCCACATTCCATGACCATATCAAACATCTTAAAATAAAATCCATGATGCTGTGTACATGATGCCATAGATCACAGGGAAAATACTGGACAATGTGGTAAATGGGTCAGTCATAATCTGTCACCACCGAAAAAACAAATTTATGTTTTCCTTATAAATTATGAGTTAACAACAGACACCTTAATGAACAGACGATAAATGGTTATTTGTAAGCAGAGTGACAGGAGTCTAGTTTCTTGTACTTTGTTTACCTCTGAATACAGAGGTGGAGGCTGGAACCGGAACTCCTGTATGCAGGCAAACATGGGACAGCATGTCTCTTCCTCACAGTGAGGGGGCTGAGGATAGGGAGGAATATGTCGAGAGAACTCTTCCTCTGTTACCACATCTGCATAATTTGGTGGTGCTGAAACAGAAATGAAGTTGGAGTTAAGAAATCCGTGCAAAAATTAATCTCTTCTGAAGTCATACAAAAATAAGAAATTTAGCTAAATTTGAAGATAAAAAATATGGCATTTCTTCCTATAATCAGCGTTTTTGTCCCCATTACAACAAAACATTTAATAGATTTTGTTTTTATTTAATGACTACTGGTATTGATCACATTCTATTTTTCCGAGATGTTTGTTTTATAATTAAGGTAAACATCATTAAAATGACTCTATAGAAAATATATTAATATGTCACAGATTTGACTACTTTTCATTGTCTTATTATTATGAACTGGAATCAGGAGATGTATGTTTTATTCCTGAATCTGCCATCAGCAGCTTTTTGTCCTGGATAAGTTAAAACTTTCAAGGTCCCGTCTAAGAATAATGTCTCTCTTTTTTTTTTTTTTAAGTTAGTCAGGCCCAGGCAAGGTTCGAATCCGCTGCCCCTATTGTATGGGGCTGGCACAGTAACCACTGAGCTATGGCGCCCAGTTTAAGAATAATATTGTACGACGTTTTTGTAATAAGAAGAATAAAAACAGCTGTAGGTAGTTAACATTGAGCACTTCATATCTTTTATGTCCCTATTCTTAGATACTTTCCATGTAAAACTTCATTATGAAAAAAACTTCAAAATAGTTTACCTTCAGGCTGTTCTGGCAAGGTAAGTGTCAGCCAGCTCATATCCATACTGAACTGGCTGGCAACACTGGAGTTTCTGCTGCCAAAACCGTTATATGGAATTGTACCGATCACTAACGGCAGTTCGATCATCAATTTTTTAGCACCAGGAATGTGAATGTATACCTAGTATACAAAATAAGGGAGAAAGGCATAAACAGAAATTAAACCTCATATTAGATAGCATGATTAATTCCTTTTTGATAGAAGGAAATGCTTTTGTTACCTGCTACTATATCTCATTACAATTCTAAACTGTCCTGACCGAACACAATGAAGACTGCACAGCACACGGTGACCCGCTCTACAACAGGGAACTGTGGCCTTAATGTGCTTCACACACACTTCATTGTAAGTCAGCAGCTTATGCAATTATTGTAGAAAATTAAGTATATGTCTTCAATACAACAAGTACCCCTTAATGCACTTCAGTTCTTCGATGTTATCTTATTAAATCCCTTGGGGGGATAGTTTTTTATTAAAAACAAAGGTCAATCTTCACATATTCTACAACTAGTTGATGCGAAGGACTATTTCCCAGGTAACTGCATATATGTGCAGTAACACACCAGTTACTGCTCCATCCTACATTTTAACTTAGAGAGAGCTCTGCTTACAGCTAAGGAATAGTCCACTCTGATAATGCAGCAATCTAGGATGGAGGGAGTAACAGGGGGAATTTTGAGAGTTTTCCCATTCCATGTTTCGGTGCTCCCAGAAGCAATGTGATTTCCTCGCACATTGGCAACCATGTGACGGACGGTCTTTGTTTTTCCACTAGCCAAATACGTCTGGGTTTGGAAAATAGCAGCTTTGGGAACAATCAGACGAGAGGAACAATTCTCTATTTCTGCATAGATTGGAATAGCTTCTCCTAAAATGAAAACAAAAACAGGGAGGATTCAGGGACTTTTCAAAAAGTCCTCACTTTCTGAAAATATAATTATATATTTTCATTATAATTTTAAATATAGCCATCACCAATTAAAGCTAACAGGTTCCAACAATAGTTCAACAAATTGAGAAGCTCTGACAGAAAACATATTGTAAATCTAAGTCAGAGAAAGGAAAATTCACAGCAGGTTGTGGTAGGTGTTATTTTGCAATTATCACATTTAATTATTACATTTTCTAATATAGAATTACATTATCAATTCTAAAGATATGTAAATAATCAGTTATTTATACATTAAGATCCAAAAATAAATGATTCAGCACTATTTTAAGTATAAAGCATCACTAACAAACTCGTTAGTGCCGGACAAATTAAAATGCGCTCAATAGGAGACAAAGCCTTTTCTTTAAAAAAATTGTGTTAGGACACAACTAACTCAAGGGCTAGATCAGGGAGGTTTCGTATTATGTGCATCCACAGGATGCCATTCCACACTGCATTCTTCTCCGATCAGCCAGAACCCTGCAGCAGCACCCAAATCCCCTGCTAGAATTCAGCCCTTTGTAAATGGTAGGTCTAATATCAATTTGGCTATTAAGTTTGTTAATGTTCTACGTTCTAGCCCCATATATTTGTATATCTTAATTCAGCATAGAATCAGAATGTGTAACAGCATTTCTTAATACAACAGTTCTCTTCTGAGCAACACAACTTGGATATTCTTTTGCAACATTAAAATAAGATGCTGGCATTTTCCTACTCCTCTAGTTTTATCTTTGTTACTAAAGTAATAGGATTTAAGTCAGAAATAGCAAGGGTTTTATTGGAATCTGATCATCCATTTAAAAATGTCTAAATACAGGGTGGGCATAAAGTTCACGTCCAATTTAAAATAGTTTAACATAGCAAATTGCACATGACCTTTATGTACACCATGTATATTAAAAGTAAGATTTTATTGTCATGTTCCAATACTATTTGCTTTATATATTACAAAACAGACTATTTAAAATCACTTAAAGTAAGCTAATAAAAAGAATGAATCTTTCATTTAGACTTGCAAACATTTTACTTACCATTACAGTATCCCTTTCTTTCAATTTTGGCACTGAGCGAGACTGGACCAGAAGTAAAAAACCAACAGCCAACCATTTTCTCTTGAGTTTTCAATACAGGGGTCTTGAAAATTTCAAATGAAAAAATGACCTTAATTAAATGACTCTAAAGAACTCATAGAATTCAAAATTATGTCTGTCTTCACAGAATAGTTGTAAAGAAATTACCCACCAAAACACAAATCAGTCTTTCTCAGCATGTGACATATTAGATAAGCCATGTACTGAAACACAGAATGTTAAAACTTATTTCCTTTTTAGGAAAACCAAGGAGAATTTTCAGATTTAAATTAGCATGTCACCATCATATTTTACCCTAAAGTCACTGTATTTCTAGGAAATGATATGCCAATCCTTAAAAAAGCAATTAAAAGCTTCCCTAGAACCTATAAACATGACAGAATTATTTCTTAAGATTTTATGTATAGATCAAGTAAAAGGAGAAATGATATTAAAATCAATAATAAGAATGTTGTATTAATTTTGGCATTTAATAAGTGCAATAAATAAACATCTTTCCCCCTTTACTTTAAAACATATTATCACACACAAAGTCTTTAATTTGGAATGGTTTTGGGGATTTTGTGTTATAGTGCAATGATGCCCACAGTGTTAACAGATCTAAAAAGGTTATAAAATACACCACTTCACTGTGGTATTCTACTCCACAGTATCAAGAGAAATGATCCAAGATTTAAAATGTGTAGTTTACCAATTACACACACCAAAAGCTTCCCATAAAACCCAAAGTTACCTGCAATACTTTTTTTTTTTTTTCTTATTGAAAGAATAAAAAATGCATAGTGTTTGTTTTTGGCAAAAATAAAATTCCTTTAAATAAACTACCACAATGGTCATAAAGAATTTAGAAATTTTTAAGTTCTAAGTAGGTTTTACAAATATAAGACACTTAGCATCACCAATTTTCAAAATTAGTTTTGAGCAGCTATTACAGTCTTAACTATAGCTATAAACCAGGGCAGCTGGGTGCTGGCTATTTTATGATTTTGGCCACAAGAGACCACACAACCACAGTCTATCTGTTATCTTTTCACAATCCCAAGGTGAACATTAAAGTAAATTCTATTTCTTTTTCATGTGAAAATAGGAGTTAAACAACTTTTAACTGCTGGCTTTTTCCTTGTTTTTAAAAACATTGGCTGGAAGAAGAAACCTCCAACACTAAAAATACATCTTTGTCACACCAGTATCATAATGGAAAGTTTAAATTATCTCCGTATTTTTCTATGAAGTAAAAAATCATTCATTCATATTTAAATGAAGAACCATTAGGGTCCTAGTAGCTATCATGAAAGTACAAGGTATAATTTTATATTATTTTGATAATATGGGTTTAGATAAAAGAATCTAGCTCATTAGCTCCCATCTTGCCTATTCTGTTGTTACTTATAGCCTGATCTTTCTTATCAGTCTACAGTATTTCTGGTGATTATTAGAAGTTCAATGCTTTAATGTGGCCAAATCTGTCATAAGGAAATGATAAGTGAAAGGATCTCAGCAGCAGCTGCATGCACTTACTTAATGTTAGAAAATGACATGCAAAATGGAAGGATACATAGCATAATGGCCTGAGCTTCAATAACAGGCTGAGCATGATTAATACTCTTCCATAATTACTGTTCCTCAACCTGCTATTATTGAAGAGTTTAGAATACCACAGTCCTGTGAATGTGGCCGCTCTGGTAAAAGTAACCACTCTCTGTGTGTGCATTATTGTTATTAAGCCTTATTAATGCATTTCAAGCCTGTGTAACTTTTTGGCAAAAGAAGCCCTGAACAGCAGAGACATAATCAATAGTATTAACACACACAATTTGTAATTTGCCCAACCTAGAATCATATATTTGTAGTGAATGCCTATGGGTTATAAAAGTGTATTTTCTAAGCCATCAGAAAGTGACAGGACAGACTACCACTGAACTGGCTAAACAGAGATAACACTATTGAAAGGAAGGAGGCGGGGAAGAAAGGAGGAAGAGAGGAGGAAGAGGAAAAGAACTTACTAATAATGCTGGTGTGTTGACATCAATGTGACTTACAACCTGCAGCTCCCGCTTCACACTCTGGTCAGGGACCTTGGGCCGCTCCAGAACTGCCCTCACACAATACTGGATACTTCCATATTTGCCAGTAAATGAGGAGACCAAAGGTCTGAAATGAACCAAAGATATTAATTTACAAGTTTATTTTTCAGTTAAACAAAAACAAGTAAAGCACACTTTAAATGTTTTAGGTTGTAGGGGAAAAACCGAGGAGGCAGGGTAAGCCTGGTTAGGGCCATTCAGCATAAACAGGTACACGTGAGTTGGCACATACCTGGTACTCAGACACTGGGACAGACATATTACAGGGAAAGATAATCACAAAATTATACAGTTTCACTTACTCAGATGGAAGTTGAAAGCGAAATGGAAATTCATGTTTTCCAGGCTGTAATAAAATGATGCCTTCACCTATAAAAGATATTATATTTTGTTTTAACAAGATTAATATCAAATTGAGAGGTTTTACAATCACAATTTTAAAGAAGTTCTTCCTAGCTACAAAATGCAGTACACTTCCAAAGTTCATTAAACAAATTTAAGAAATTAAATTTGAATTAGTTTGTATTAATACACACACAAAAAAAATTTCATTCTCAAATAGACCAATTATACAAGTAATTACCATAAAGTGCTAACACAGATATATACAGGAACATGTGTATACACAAACATGTGTATACACCTGTTTTATATATATATTAAAAATTCAGTTTTTTACCCTACTCTGTTACACTAACAGAAGGTTCCAATATTAAATTGAACCTAAAATTAATTTACTGAAAGATAGACTTACTTTGGGTATACCACAAA